TCTTCTCTGATAGTCCAGGCTGGATGAGGCTGCCTCATTGCTGGGCTTCCACCTCCCACAGGCATAGCATTCTAAATGGGGATTCTCCATCTGTCTTCTCTATTAGACTGGGCCTGGGGTCGGGGTTCTGCACAGACTGGGCCCCAAGGAGGCGATGTCTCTGCAGCAGGGGCTAGAAAGCAGAGGGTGCACAGGTTGCGGCTGTGCAAGTCTTGGGGACAGAGTGCAGAACCCCAGGTTGGGACAGGAGGCCAGGCCTCTCCAGCTGGGCCCCCTCGGTGGCTTTTTCCTGAGCGCTCTGCTCAGGTGGGCAGGGGACATCTGACGGCACTGCTTGGCTGGCCAAGAACCCTGAGCTGCTTCTGTGATGTCAAAACCAGGCCACGTCATCAGGGCCACCAGCAGAAGCATGACTGAGGTCATGGGCAGACTAAATCTGACACATGTGATGCCATGGAGTGGGTGGCAGAGAAACTCGTCACAGTCACTGAGGCCCAGGTCCCTGCCTGTGGTGGGTACCCCAGAAAATTCCGCTAGGCCTGTGGGGGTGAGTGATGGGAAAGGGAGGTGTGTACCTCTAGCTGGACTGGACCCTAAGGGCCAGGACTTCCAATACTATGGCCCACTCTATAGGGATTGGGTCAGGCCCACAGGGATCCATTAGACAGGATCCAGAGACCCCTCCTGGAATCTCCAGCCCTTTGGCCCTGCAGACTCCAGGCTGCAGTCTTGGGCTGGCTCTCCTGTCCAGGTGGTGGCACAGCCTCCCTCACGCCTGCCCCAGGGATGAGCACGTGTGCACATTTCCCTTCTTGATAGCAATCAGCCCAGCCAGCAGAGGAGGCTTCCCCTAGGCCAGGCTGGGTTGACACGAAGGCCTAGGGTAGAATCACCATCTTAGGTGGGACCAGGTCTCTCCTCAAGGGTTGGCAGGACTGTGGCCTCTGGAGGAGAGAAGTGGTGCCTACAATTTCGCATGAAGCTCCTATAGAGTCAAGGTGAACCTCAAAGGAGACCCGCAGGGTGACCCAGGCCATGCCTCAGTCCACCAAGGGCTCATGGAAGTGCTGTGGCAGCCAGCTACCCGCTGTCCTTGGCAGCCCCCTCTGAATCAGGTTTGGTTTTGGGAACATGTCCCTTCATTCCTCCCTGGCTCCTCAAACAGCAGCAGGTGTTGGGCTGCAGTCACTGGGCCTTTCCGGGGGCTGGGACTGCACCACCTCCTGCCTCCTTTGCTCTGTCTGGTTGGCCCATCCTAGCCTCCTCCCATGGCCCCACACCCTGCCTCTGGGGACCTCCAATCCATATTCTTGCCTACAAAGACCCTGGGTCCTCCCAGTCTCCTCACCCTCTGACCCCAGGCTGCCAGCCCCTCAAGGTCACCTCTAGGCAGTCACAGCTCAAGCCAACAAACCTCACCATGCTTGTTGCCTGTAGCCCCACCTCAGGGCCTGACTTTACCTCTGTTTCACAGAGAACACAGAAGCCATTGTCCCCTCTCACCACAAACCTGTGGACCAACCCAGCCCACCCTACTGTACATTCCCCACCAGACGGACTGGGCCACCCAGACAGTCTTTCCCTGAGCTCTCTGTGAGGGGTCTGCGATAGCTGATGCTGGGGCACCGCCTGTGCTAGCCAGCCAGCCATCTTGCCCACTCCCGGCTCACCTCCATCAGAGAGGAAGGAGCTCAAACGTCCCTGTCTGGAAGGTGCACCTCTGACCCTGTGACTCCTCTGGCTGCCCCATCTCCCTCCTTCCCTTCAGAATAAAACTTCAAAGCATCTTCTACCCTCTGTCTCACCGTCACTCGCTCCTCAGCCCACTGCCAGCAGCCTTGTCCCATCGCACACTGTAGCTGCTCCCCAAGAGGCCTCAGGGATCTCCGCATGAGTAATCACAGTGGTTACATCTCATCCTCACCCTGCTGTCCACTACTGCTACTAGCATCACCCCCTGAGGCTGTAATTGTCTGATGCTGCCCAGGGCTGCTCAGCCTCTGGGTTGGACTGTCCTGCTTACCTCAGTCCTGGTGATGTCACTTCCTAGCTGCATCAGCTCAGCTTCTCCGAAACTCAGTTTCCTCACTGGGAAAACAGGACTAATAACAGTACCTGCCTCACAGTTCAGCATGAGGATTAAATGAGTTCAGCCATAAAAAGAACTTAGTTCCCCACTCTTCACAAGTGCTGCTCAATAGAAGTCAGCTGTGAGAGCGCTTCCCTTCAGCCAGTCCTCTCCACCCTGACAGAGCCTACCTAGTCCAGCTTCCTGCCATCTTTATCACAGAGGACTCCCAATGTCCCCTCACTGGCCACGCTGCTGCCTTGATCCTTCTCATCCATTCCCCTAGAGCAGCTTCACCACGCCTCCCCTGGTTGAAAACCCCACGCCTCCCCTGGTTGAAAATCCCACAAGCCTCAACCTCTTTTGCCTTTAAAAAACTGTGTGTGTGTGCGTGTGTGTGTGTGTGTGTGTGTGTGTGAGTGTGTGTATTTTTTTATTTTTTTTTGGAGAGATGGTCTCACTCCAATGTCCAGGTTGGAATTCAGTGGCACGATCAGAACTCACTGCAGCCTCGACCTCCCAGGCTCAGATGATCCTCCCATGTCAGCCTCCCAGGTAGCTGGGACCACAGGCATGTACCATCACATCTCACTAATTTTTTGTACTTTTTGTAGAGATGAGCTTTTGCCAAGTTGCTCAGGCTGGTATATAATCATTTTTAAAACAAGAGACAAAGACTACAAATGTCAAGATTTACAATACTACTACTCAGGATTTTGTGTGCATGTGTGATTGCAACACAAAGTCTTGAGTTTTAAAGAAACAAAAAATATACAGGAATGTTTTGTCTCTACATCTTTAAATTCAATGAGCTTTAAAATTCCCTAGAAAAGCCCACTTATGTTTAAACAAAAATACAGGCTCTCTCTATGAGAAATCACATTATTTTTGCACAAGTCCCCAAAATGTGTTATAGACAGTAACACCAAGGTACAGTTGAGTGTGAAAGAAACAAACTCTGGGTCCCTGGGGCAACAGGAGACCTACTGGAGCTAAGGTTGTTGAGGCAGTTAGAACAGAGCCCCTCAAATGTCAGTGAATCACTGAGGATCTTGTCAAAATGCAATTTTTGATTCATAAAGTCTGGGCTGGGGCCTGAGGGTTGGCACTGCTAATAAGCTCCCAGGAGCTGCTGACCTGCAGGTCTGGGACCACAGGAGGAGTAGCAAGACTTGAAATCTGTTTCCCCCCAAGACTGAGCTTCTTAGTGGAGGGAACCATGTCTGTTTAATTCATGGTACCTACACACAGGCAGAGCTTATTAGATGCCAGCTGAATGAATTGTGCCTACCAAGTACCCAAGCTGGTCCTAAGGCTCCCCCATGTTGTGCTGAGTTGTGCCTGTGAGACTCCACTCTGGATCGAGAACCTAGGGCTCCTCCTGGTCCAGGGCCTAGCCTGGGGCTGACCCAGGAGCGTGTATCAGCTACGGGGAATTATCCTCACCGCATGGCCTTGAGTCACAACCTCTTCACCTGCCTCCCCACAGCCACATCCTGGTCCTTGTCTTCACCTGATCTGATTATGCGCAAAAGCCCAAAGCACCCAAATTCCCCTGCCTCAGCATAACCTCCTATCCGCCATCTCCCACAATGATCACATCACACCACACTCCGACGCTCTCCTCTCCCTCCCACCCAAGGCCAATCGTCTTGAAGAATTCTTCCCCATGCCCCCGTCACACACATCCCTTTACCAAAAGCCCCTACCCCATGGGGTGTGTCAGGCAGGCACAGACACAGGCCCATAGCAAGGGGACCCCTCTTCCCTCAGAGGCTGCCCTCTGGGACCCCCTACCCCTACTCTCCTGGGTTTCCTGCTTCCTAACTGGCTGCAGCTTCTCAGGTCCCTTGTGGATTTCCCCATGGTCTGTGCCCACTCGCATTACCCCTCTGTAAACCTTTCCTACCAGGCCTGCACCTGGCAAATCCATGCTCAGCACAGACAGGGATGCAGACCTCTCAATACAACTGTCTCCTGCCAATCCCTGCCCCAGCATCTTGAGGCCCAGCCTGAAACCAGGGAGTTAGTTGCCCTCCTTTCTCCTCTCCTCCCTTAACCTCTCCCCTCAGACCATGCCAATTCTACCTCTTAAACCTCCCAAGCCAGACCCTCCCCCAGCTCCCAGTGACAGTGTCAAGAGTTTCTGTCCTCAGGTACCTGAGCTCAGCTCCTGGTGCTACCAGAGGGACCTCCAGGGGCTGCAGCCAGTCTTCCTGCAGGCGCCCAGGCCCACAACGCAGGGAACAGGCATGGCACTGCTAGCAGACCAGTAAGAGAATGACCACCTGGGGCCTGAGTGCCCTCAGCCACCCGCCAGAAACAAAGTGTCAAGGAGAAGCCCATGGGATGAACCGCTGGGGACTGGAACACCAGCAATTCCGCACTGGGAGAGGGCACCAAGAGATGTGCTTCTCAGAGCCTGAGGCTGCACGTGGATGGTTAGCAGTGTGACCCGCTACCAGACAAACTCTCATCTGTTCCAGTGCCCTCCCGGTCACCCACCAGGACCAAGCAGGGCAGGTAGCAGAGGGACAAGGTAGTCCAGGTGATGGCAGATGAGATCTCACTGGGCAGGAGGCCTGAGTGAGCTGAGTCAGGCTCCCCCCACCTGCCAGAGGGGCCCTCTCACCTGCTGCCATGCTTCCCATCTCTCATCCTCCTTGACAAGATGACGTGACACCCTTTAAGTAATCTTTTTTCTTGTTTCACTAATCTTGAGTACTAGAAAGTCATGGTTGAATAATTATGTCTGTGGTTTTCTATGGAGGTTCCATGTCAGATAAAGATCCTTCCGACGCCTGCCCCACACGCCCCCTCCTGCCTGGGGTTGTGGGCACCATGCTATTGTATATAAGGCAGGAGGCTGTTGCTGACTTTTCAGAACCCCAAGAAGGACCAGAACAAGAGAGTGCCTCCTGCCAATCTAAACATGAGCCACCTGCCCATCCTGCTCCTCCTACTCCTGGTCAGCCCTGGACTGCAAGCTGCCCCAACCCAGGCGACACCCTTGAAGACAACTCAGGTTAACTGCTCTAACTTGAGGGAAGAAATTGTAACTCTCCTAAACCAGCCACCTTTGCCTTCATCAGTGAGTACCTGAGATAATACTGGCCTGCAGCAGGGAGGGGTGGTGGCTGCCTCAGGCCAACAGGCCTCACGGGCATCTCTCTCCCTTTGCCCCCACAGAACTTCAACAACTTAAACAGGGAAGACCAACGCATTCTGATGGTAAGAGCTCAGCTCTGCACTTGGCACACCTGGGTCCCAATCCATTTCCCACCTGGGTGACTTCAGCCATGTCATTCCAACTTAGCCAGCCTTGCTTTTTTCATCTGTTAAATAGGGTTAATAGCACCTATCTCATTGTGGTTGTTATGACAATCAAATGACACAATGTGCATAACGTTCTGGACCAGCATCTGGCACTTAAGAGTTCAATACATGGCCACAGCCATGGCTATAATAATGAAAATGACTTTTAAGTCAGAAAATGAAAAGACAGCTCTAGGTGAGCAACACCAAGGGCCTTAAGCTCAGTTTTTGATGGGGCTGACTCTGGACCGACAGAAATTTTCCCCATGGATGTGCCAGCTTCCTTTTCCCTTAAAACATAGAGTCTGTGTTTTCCACCCTCATCGGCAGTGGCATTATCATTTACAGTTATTTTTCATGGTTCCAGTTGACCACAATGGTTCTGTCTCACCTTTGCATGACATTTCTCGGGTCAAACAAGAAGTGAAAGCCCTTGCTGGGCTGCTGGGCCATCTGTATTTGGGACACTCACAGCTCACATGCTGCTCCCATTTCCATGCTGGGGTCTCTGTGATTTTCTTCTTGATTTCTAGGAGACTTTAATTCAGTCAGGGCATGAATACTGTTATCAGCCTTTTAGCTACAGATACTTCCCTTGGAAAGCCTCCTGCCTTTTGTAGAGCTTCTTTTTGGAGATGGTTTTTCCCCAAAGTGCAAAAAGATCCACCAAGGCACCCCCACCTTTTTTTTTTTTTTTTTTTTTTTTGACAAAGTCTCACTCTGTTGCCCAGGCTGGAGTGCAGAGGCGTGATCTCAGCTTACTGCTACCTCTGCCTCCCAAGTTCAAGTGATTCTCCTGTTTCAGCCTCCCGAGTAGCTGGGACTACAGGCATGCACCACCACTCCTGGCTAATTGTTTATTTTTGGTGGAGATTGGGTTTCACTCTATTGGTCAGGTTGGTCTTTAACTCAACCTCAGGTGATCCGCCTGCCTTGACCTCCCATGTGCTGGGATTACAGGTATGAGCCACCGTGCCTGGCTTGAGTAAATTTCTTAGTCTTGATTTCTAATTTGATCATGCTGTGGTCTAAGAGTCTGTTTGTTATGATTTCAGTTCTTTTGCATTTGCCCCCTTAGAAACCAAACCTTCGAAGGCCAAACTTGGAAGTATTCCAGAAGGCCATCAAGAGTTTACAGAACGCAACAGCAATCGAGAGCAATCTTAAGGTATGTGAAGTTGTTGAGGGTTTAGGATCCCTGTGTTGGCCCTGTCCTGCCTCTGGGGAGGATGACAGCAGGGACCATTCCCTTTCCAGGGGAATCTCTGACCATCTGCTTTGGTCTCTTCCCACAGGATCTCCCATTATGCCTGCCCATGGCCACGGATGCACCCACGGTAAGCTGTCCCCCAAGATGCCCCTGCCACAGTCTGTTCCTTAGCTGGTCATCACCATTACAGCCTGGACTCACCTAATGCCACCTTCTTGGCCTCTTTACAGCAACATCCAATCCATATCAAGGACGGTGACTGGAATGACTTCCGGATGAAACTGAAGTTCTATTTGAAAACCCTTGAGATTAAGCAGCCTCAATAGATGACTCTGAGCCTCAAGACCCCTTGAGTCCAATGTCCAGCTTGCTCTCTTGGCCTTCTTACCACAGGGCCTCGGGACACTGGAAACAACTTCCGAAACCTCTGGGTCATCTCTCACACAGTCAGGACCAGAAGCATCTCACCTTTTCCTGTGGCATCAGATGAAGTGTTAATTATCTAATTTCTGAAATGGACAGCTCTTGTTTGGGCTTGTGCAGTTATGTTCTCATTTTTATCCCATTGAGACTATTTATTTATGCATGTATTTATTTATTTATTGCCTTCTGGAGTATGAAGTGTATTTATTTTAGCAGAGGAGCCATGTCCTGCTGCTTCTGCAAAAACTGTGGGTGGGGAGCATGTTCATTTGTACTTCGAGTTTTAAACTGGTTCCTAGGGATATGTGAGAATAAACCAGACTCTGAACAACTGCTTTGTTACCAGTGTTTCAATTGGACTTGGGACTTAGTGACCATTTTAGGTGAGAATGGTTTGCCACGAATTCTTGGGGGCCTGATCCTGCAACGTGGGTGTCGTCTGGGTAAGCTCATTCTCACACTGCCCTCCTGCCACCCCCATTTCCAGAAAGGTGATGGTAACCCTAGCAATCTTAAATACCCACAGAGCTGCTACCAGGTATGAGGTGCTGTTCTGAGCACTTTATCTGTGCTATCTAACTTATTCTGCACCCCAACCAAGAGTATGTTTTCTCCATTTCAGGGAAAGCTGAGGTTCAGCGTGGTTGAGCAGCTACCTAAGGTCACACAGCAGACAGTGGCTCAGCCGGGGCTTGAATTTAGGGTCGGGGTGTCTCCGGAGAACGCTAATCCTGTGGCATGTCTCCCCCTAGTGGTCCTTCCAGGAACTGCAGCAGGCAGCCACCCCTGCTCCTCCCAGGGCCAAGTTCAAGGATCAACACTGTCTGATACCCGACAATGCAGCAGATTCTGGTGATACAGGCCACCCAACCCTTGATCCAATTCCTTTAAGACCCTCCAAGCCTGGAGTCTCCATCCCTGCCTAAGCCCCCAGCTTCTCCTGCCTGATGATTTAGCAGCTCCCCTGTAGGCATCCAGACCAGCTCTGGAACCCACACCCTGGCAATCTGTGCTCTACTGGGGAGCCAGATGGAGTTTTAGAAAATGCAAATCTGACCATGTGGATCTATATTGAATGCCCCAATCCTGAGGGTCTTCTGAACCTTGTCCGTATCCCTAGGACAACATAAAAGGCTCACCTTTGCTTCACCTGTTGCTTCTATTTCCCCCATGACTACCACCCTAATCAATACTCCAGCCAACAGGAGTGCTGGAACTTCCTAGAAGAACCACAAGCCTCTCTTCATGCCCCTAAGTTGTTTTTTTGTTTTGTTTTGTTTTTCGAGGGGGATTAATAGATGGAGTCTCACTCTGTCACCAGGCTGGAATGGTGTGATCTCAGCTCACTGCAACCTCCACCTCCCAGGTTCATGCAATCCTCCTGCCTCAGCCTCCAGAGTAGCTGGGACTACAGGTGAGTGCCACTGCACCCAGCTAATTTTTTGTATTTGTAGTAGAGACTGGGTTTCACCATGTTGGCCAGGCTGGCCTCAAACTCCTGACCTCACAATCCGCCCGCCGCGGCCTCCCAAAGTGCTGAGATACAGGCATGAGCCACCGCACCCAGCCATGCCCCTAAGTTTTTATCCACATTGTCACCTCAGCCTGGCATGCCCTTATCCTAACTTGGCATGATGAGTTCCTATTCATGGACCAACTCACACACTGCCCACCTCTGGACTGTCCACACCATTCCAGGATGGGGCTCTTCTCTGAAATAGGTGAGTACACAGGAACCCACCAGAGAGACAGTCAGTGTGGCCCGGAGGTGGTGCAGACCAGCCTGGAGGCAGAGAGCAGGAGGTTTGGGACACCTGAGTGTGGCTTCAGCCTGCTGCCTGGCCCTTTAGCCCTGAGCACCTCCCTCTAACTCCCCTGCACACCACTCTGTGGCCCTCTTCCAGTCTGCCAGTGTGGAAGAAGGGGCAGAGGGGCCTTCCTCTGTCACTGCATAAGCAGGAATAGCATCCCCTCTGATTCCTTCCAAGTCCCAGAAAAGCTTCACAGGCTTATACCAGGTGCTGGTGGGTCCTGTCCCCCTTTTTCCTCTTTCCCACCTTGATTCATCCCTCCCTTGAGGTTATGAGTAAGGAACAGCCAGGCTGCTTGAATGGGACAGGAGATGATGGAAGATTTATCTGCTACAGGCTCAGAAATCTGTTCCTCTAAATTCTTCCTCCTAAAAAACCTTTATGATCCCACAAAATAACTCTCTCCTCCCCCTCCCGCCACCTCTCCCCAGCCTGGCTCACTGAGGGCATTGCACGGGGGTCAGGGAATGTTTGTTGTTGGACTTAGTCCTGGGAAGAGATAGAGGAGGCTGCTGCAGTTTCCGGATTGACCACTAGAGGGAGGTGTGTGCCACTGGCCTCAGGGCACACCAGGGTCCTGGAGGAGCCAGGCCTGAGAGGGTGCAGTAAAAAGCCTGACTCTGGACTGGGTTTCCCAAGTCTCCTGCACACCCAGCCCCACAGCCCTCACTTTACCTCCCTCTCACGTGACAGCTGGTCCTATTTGCATCCTAGGCTGAGGCAGCATTTGTGCCTCTGCCCCATGTTCCCAGATAAGTCGCTGCTTGTCACCACCTCTTCACTCCCTGGAGAGTGGGTCAGCAGCCATCTCGTCTGCTGGTCCTGTGTTAGTGATTGATGCCTGCAAGAGGCAAGGTTGGATGAGACACAGACCTGGTACGTGAGACCAGTTGGCAGGACCCATGGCTGGCCGGAGGGTGGTAGGAGGAGGTGACATGCTGGAGAGGGCATGGGCCTGCTGGGGGCTCCTCACTGCCCTCCTAGAATAGTATAGACTGCAGCTTAGAGCCAGGTTGGGGCCCAGAACCAAATGGCAGTCAGTTCCTGGACAAGTTGGGGGTATTTCTACATGCTTTAGACAGAAGGTTTATGTTCCCTCCAAATTCATATATTAAAATCTAATAATCTAATCCCCAGTGTGATGGTATTAGGATGTGAGGTCTTTGGGAGGTGATTAGGCCATGAGAGTGGGGCCCTTGCAAATGGGATCAGGACCTGTAAAAAAGAGGCTCCAACCAGGCATGGTGGCATGTACCTCTAATTCCAGTTACTTGGGAGGCTGAGGTAGGAAGTTTCCTTGAGCCCAGGGGTTTGAGGCTGCAGTACACTATTGACCACACCATGATTGGCCACTGCACTACAGCTGGGCAACATAGCAAGATCCCCATCTCTGAAAAAAAAAAAAAAAAAAAAAGAAAGAGAGAGAGAGACTTCAGAGAGCTCCCTTTCCCCTTCTGCCGTGCGAGGATACACCCAGAAGACACCTGTCTATGAATTAGGAAGTGGCCCCTCGCCACTGGCACTAAATCTGCCAGGACCTTGATCTTGTGCTTCCATCTTCCAGAACGATGAGAAATACATTTCTGTTGTTTATAAGCCACTCAATCTAAGGTATTTTGTTACAGCAGCTTGAATGGAACAAGATACTACATCATGCTCAGCCATGGGCAGGGAAGAGGCTCATGGCTTCCTGACCCAGTGGAGACCTCTGGGTGCTCGCCTCTGCCCTGCACGTCTGTCAGTTTTACCTGTCCTTTCTCTCAGCCTTCCAGACTGTCCTTCGAGCCAGATCTATGTATCCATATGGCGCCAGGGGGCAGCATCACCCCATTGTAAACCCCACGGCCACAGGAAGACCCAAGTTCCGCCTTCCCACATCTCAGGTTCTCCTCGAGGGAAGGTGGATTATGTTACTCAGACAGGAATTTTATTTTTCACTTAGAAAAAAAACTATTGTTTTTCACTGGAGGGAAAAATGGGAAAGCATATATACTCTTTACTGAAAAACTTGGAAATGCAGAAAAATAGAGCAAAGGGAAAACTGCCAGAACGGCAAGTACCTAAGGAGGGCAGAACTCAGAAGGCATGACCAGCCTCACCCCAGACAGGAATCTTCCCACTCCAGGAAGGGGCTCTGTTCCTCCCACCCTGGCCTCAAGCCACCATTTGACTCAGTGGAGCAACTGCTCTGAGGACCCTCTATGGCTCCCCTATGCTGGGGCAGGCATACGTGAGACACTGGGCCAGGCTTTCAGGCCTCCTGGCCATGTGCAGTTGGCCCAGCACAGTGCAGATAGCACAGGACCAATGGGTGGTTGTGGACCTCATCAGAGGTGCTTCCCACAGGTGGCACACAAGGGGCCTGAGAAGTTCATCCAGCAGAGAGGGATGAGAAAGATGCAGGGAGGGAGGGAGGCAGATGCCCTAGGGGAGAAAGGCATGGAGGTAGAGAAGACAAGGTTAGTAGAGGCACAGGAGAGTCTAAGCAGAGGAGAGGCAGAGTGTGGCTGGGTGCCAGGTGTCCAAGTCAGAGGGCGTGCCCTGGGTCACTGCTTTTGCCCCTGGAGCCCAGCCAGCCCCTGGTGTCTTCTCCACATTCCTCGCTCCCTGATTCTGGGCCAGCCCAGCCCAGCATGGTCACTGTGGAGATGGCAAGACTAGATGACTGTGGCCTGAGGAGGGGTTGGTGGAGGGAGGCGGAAGGACAGGATGGAGCCATGGCAGACACTGTGTGTTTAACACCAACAGGAAGAAGCCAGGGCAGAGGGAGAGAGGTGTTGGATGAACAGGGGCTGGCCCAGCAGAGGAGGATCCCTGGGCCCAGGAGGATGGGGTATCCATGATGGGAGAGGACGCAGACGTGGTGTGGACCAGGGGCGGGGACTAGAGACCCAACTTTCCCCCTTGGAAACCTCAGGTCAGGCTCCATGAGGTGGATCAGCAAAGTTGGTGCTGCCCTCCTGGACCGAGAAGAGACTCGGAGAATCCCAATGACCCAGTGAAGGCTGTGATTATCCCCACTGCAGAGACAGAGACTGAGGCAGAGAAATGAAGGGAATGTGAGTCCAGAGCCTCTGAATCCTTAAGCAGCA